GATCTTGAGCTCGTGCTCCTGCCGCCCTTCCGGCCCTTCTCTGTCAAGGAGGCCCGGCTTCTCCTCCAGGCCGCCGAGGAGGGACGGAGCAAGGAGGCGAAGGAGTTGCTGGAGGCCTCAGTTGACCCGGACCTAGAGCTGAAGTACAATCACACTCCCTTGCGTCTCGCAGCTGCCGCGGGGGACCTGGAGATTCTGGAGATGTTGCTTTCTCATGGTGCAGATGCGAACGCAACACGCGAAGCGATGGTGAAAGCGCCGGGGACGGCACTCCACGTGGCTTCGGAGCTTGGGCATGTGGAGGTCGTGCGGAAGTTGCTGTCATATGCTGCGGATGCGAACAGGAAAGTTCAGAGAGGCAGTCATGTCAATCATGATCATGTTACGCCCTTCCTGCTTGCAGCAAAGCAGGAACATTTGGAAGTTGTTCGTCTGCTCCTGCATGCCAGGGCCAACATCGAGGAAACGGATTCGTTTCGGCGGACGCCACTTCTCCTTGCGGCGGACTGTGGAAACGTAGACATCGTGATCATGCTGTTGGAGATGGCCGCAGACTTGCACAAAACCACCTTTAGGGGAAAGACCGCCCTCCATCTTGCTGCAGAAAGTGGCCATGGAAACGTCATGCGCGTGCTGTTGGAGGCCCGTGCAGACAAAAACTTGAGAACACGGGGTCATTCCCAGACGCCACTTGACCTGGCATCAGCGAATGGTCACTCGGAGATCGTCCGCATGCTACTCGTAGGGACGTGGGAGACTGACAGCTGAGGAGACAAACGCCGCCGCGCTGCCTAAACCCTATACCGCTATAAAGCCACTAAAGCCACCCTAAATCCTAAACCTCAAACCCGATAAACCCTATAATAGGCCCTATAAGCCCCAAAAGCCCCAAACCCCCAAACCCTGAGCCTTAAAGCCCAAAGCTCAACACTGGGGGCCGTAGGTCCCGGGCTCCCACAAAGTTTGGGATCAAACTCCAGGACCACCTACGGGGAGTTTAGGGTTTATAGGGATCTAACCCAAGACGAGTTTCAGAGATAAGGGACCTTCGTATAGACCCAAACAGTAGGATCCTTTTTTTTAGGGCCGTAGGGGTCTGGAGCTTTCTCAGAGATCATCAAACACCTCAGTCCTGCAAACGCAGCACGCAGGTGGAAGCGACAGTGGAATCCTACAACAGCTCGGAGCTCGAACAGATCCTAGAGATTTAGAGATCATTCATCACTATTACCTATTTCGGCTTCCTGCTTTTCTTCACTAATTAGTGTTGTAGTTCTGGTTCTTGTTCGTGTGTTCTGGGTTGGTGGTCCATAAAGGACCTCAAGAAGACAAGGAGTCTCCAGCATTGGCTTTGCGAAGACCCTAAACCCTAAACCCTAACTCTAAACCCTAAACTCTAAACCCTAAGCCCTAAGCCCTAAACCCGAAGCCCAAACCCCTCAACACTAAACCCTCTGCAGTAAGCCCCTCCGGTATTTCTGCTCCTTGGCCCGAAGTCCTACTAGTTCCTCCTGTCCAGGGCTGGTTTCTAAGTGCCGTAGACCCGGACCTCAGCCCCGAGGCCACGGAGCTGAAAGGGGCGTCCCGTTTGTAGATCATAACATAGAGCCTGGTATCATCCCGACAAGAGGACCCTTCAGCTAGAAGGCTTTCGGTGTTGAGGTTGAGCCGCGCCTCTGCCGCGGTGAGGTATTCTAGAAGCTATCGATGGCATTGAACCCATCTTTCCCTGAAGTGCTAGACCAGTTAGCCGCTTCATGGTACCCTTATTCTCTCAAACCGGAGGGGTACAGAAATCCGACGCCCACGCCCCGTGTGAAGCATAGCCCAGGCCTGGCGGTGACCCTAGCGAACGAGGTGCCGGATTTCGGTTGGATCACTCCACGGGAGGTTGAAGGTTTAGGGTCGAGTTCGAAGACGTCTCGCTCGAAAACAACCATCCGTAACCTTGTGCCTACCAAGCCCTGGTAAGGTGGTTATGTACGTGGACAAGGCGAAGAAGCTTGCCGACATGGCCGTCAAGGAGCAGGCGGGGAACCGGACCGACCATGGTGTTGCGCGCTGAGCGATTAAGCTAACAAACTGATTTAGAACACTGCTAAATTCAATTAAATTCAGTTTCTCTTGGGTCTGGAGGAGTTCCATGGCCCTGAGGCTGGGGGTCCAGGTTTCCGGTCTGGCGTCGTGGTTTCGAGGTGAGGATGTCTGTAATTCCTGCTGCAATCAACCCTAAGCTAAACCCTAAACCCTGAACTTTGCCGGTGAGCCGCTCCGAGCAACCCTTAATGCGCACATACCGTGGTTCAATCAGCCCAAGCCCCAAAAACCCTGCATTCTACAAGCCCTAATGCCTGCCAGCCAGCCGCAAACCTCGAACCCTGCAGCCCGACTCCTTGTTCCGCCTCGAAGCTCGGAAGCTCCGAGAAAAAGCATTAAATCCCGACACCCTGGACGTGCCTAATCCCCAAATCCTACGCTCTGAACCCCTCTAGAGTGCAAAGCAACTGGAGCCTTGAGAGAATCGAGCTACACTCATGGTAGAGTATACCCCAAAACCCTATTCTGATTATCAAGGCTCCTATTTAAGACACCCTGTAAACCCTTTATGATGAAAACCCTTCAGAATCCATACCCTCAAACCTTTATTCTTTCAACCAAGGCTTCCAGCAGATTCGAATCCTTACATGAGCCTCCTGAGTGCTGAGGCTGCCGGAAGCCCGGTCCTGGCATCCAAGCATCTCATCGAGGTGGGGGCTGTTTTAGTGCTTTTGCTTTTGTTTGGGATGCTAGGCTTTGTCTTTTTTTCGGAGGGGAGGTGGGTTGGGAAAGTGACAATTTGCGGGATTGTCTGTCTCAGTGTGTTTAGTTTTCTGGGTGAGCTTCGGAAGATTCTCGGCGTTTTGTGCAAACGCTGCCTGCGCCGAAGCACGAAAGCGCTCGATGTGCCAGGTGATCGCGAGATCGACGGATCCGCTTCCGGATTCACTCGTTGCCAAACCGCCCGAACAGAGAGCGCAAACCCAAACCCTCTCTCATGAGAGTTGCCAGGCCCACAAGCTCATGCACGAGGCGCAGGAGAAGAAGGCCGCGTCTCTGGGCTTCGGTAGTCGAGGGCTTCAGGTTGTTCTTGTTTGCGGTGACTTGTGTAGTGGTTACCTTAACGGAATCCTTACGCGCTCAGCCTCTAAACCGACGAAGGATGAGTGCTTTTAGCGGCATCGAGATCAGAGTAATGACAACCAGGACTGTGAGAAAAAGCAGCACACAAACAAACCAGACTAGACCCTAAACTCCTAGAGCCCTGAACCCTAAACCCTAACCCCAAACCCCTAGACCCTCTTGCTGCTGCCAAAGACCAGGCGAGGGCCCTTCGCATCCGGAGTTTGGCGGAGAAGATCAACAGCGAGGCAGTAAGGGGGAGGTACTGAAGGGTTCTGTCGGGTGGAATTTAGGGTTCAGGGCACTTCGGGTTTAGGGTGCAGGATAAGCTTGCAGGAATACAGCCGATACAAGAGTTCGGGGAACGACTTGGAGCTTCGAATCCTCTGGGAGAAGTTTGAGTTTCAGGTATCGGATCTCTTGTCATGAAGACATGACAAAGTACTTGTGCGACGGTCCTGGCTTGGGCAATTTCTTATCGAAGACGATCAATACGAACTGTGCGTCGTTCTGGGAGAATGTTGCATGCAGTCCGCCCCTCTCAGGTTTTTGGATCTTCCGTTTATCCTGGCCGCTATAATTGGAGCCCAAAAATGTTGCTGAAGCTGTCGATGCAAATAACAATAAGTAGACCAGTGCAGGGAGGACCTGTTGCTCAGAGCTTCAAAGTCACTGCTCTGCAGGCTCTGCCGAGCTACCGTCAGGCCCGGTGCCTCGGGTTTTGGATTTCTAGCTGTTCGTTCAATTTTGAGGCGTTCAAGGTTTTTTGTGTGCACCCCTTAGCATCGCTCTGAAATCATGCAGCCGGGCAGCCCAGGCCCGCAAGATTTGCCTTTTTATTTGGCCATCTCACGAGCCGAGCTTGCAAGAAGAGAGATTTTCGGGCGCGGAAGTGCGCGAGGCCACGCAACTCGCTGAGCACTCGGCTGCCTTCTCTGCGCTGCAGCTCTCGCAGCGGCGACCCTAAAGGGTCAGGCATTTTTTTGGGGCGGGAGGGTGCGGTTTCAGATCGTTATGGTTCTGGGTTCAAGGGTACGGGGTTCGGGGTTGAGGGCCTGTGGGCTGAGACCTGGAGTCTTGATATTGTTGGGATTCTTGTTTCTGCTTGCCTAGCCTTGACTTCCAAACGGGACGGAGCACATGCCTCAATTATCGGCTATACACCCAGATTCAATCCTGAACCTGAACCTGAGCACACCATGCACCCGAGGCAGTCCAGCCACCTCCGCGGTCCGAGTCTGTGAGCTTGCCACAGATTGCTTGTGAGACAGGGGGCTCAGGGCTTAGAGCCACTCGAATCTCATCACAAAAGAGTCCCGGGTTCAGGTTCTAAAGGGGATGGGGACCCTAAACCCTAAACCATAAACCGTAAACCCGTCATGCCTCCAACTTTCGACCCCACCCTCCAGACCCGAAGGCCCAAGCGCTCAGGCATGGTAAGGGTTCGAGCCTGTGCCAGCTGCTCTTAGTCAGCCGGACACAGTCCGTCAGCGACGAAAAAGCATGAGCGGCCATGTGTAGGACCAGGAGACTGCTGCAGAAAGAGCAATTTTTGCATACAGTCCCTGAAGAACTGGATGCTGGTGATAAGAAGCCTTGAAGCGCTGTGATCTTGGGTTAAAGAGTTTGCACCCAAGAATGTCGGATGGTGTTCTTGTCATCAGGTTTCTTGTTGCAGTGCTGCTGCACAGCGGCCATTTCGGTTCCCTCCTTACCTTCCAGCGGTCCGGATGCTAAGCAAGAGATTTTTTTGGCACAGGCACCCTCAACTTATATCTCCTCGTCGACTGCCTTCTTCGGCCAGAGAACCCGACAGCACCACTGCGGTACCGGCTTCGCGCATGTCCAAAAGCCAACAACCTAGTCCTGCCATGTCGCGCCAACCCCTCCGGCAGTACACCTTCACCCTCTCTGCACACACGGCTCCCGGGGACACAATCAAGCTTGTGGGAGGCCGACTCATAGCCTTGAGGGCTTAAGGTCGGCTTATTGTATCTGAGTCAAAGTGTGCCGGGTTTGTCTGTCCGAAGGGTTCGGTGTGGCAGTTTCTGCATAGTTCGGGCTGCGTGTCTGCGATTCCAGAGCAGCGCTTCGGAATCTGCGCCGTAAGGTTTCAGGAGTGGAAAAATGCAGAATCTTCGGCTTTCAGTGGTTGAGGGAGCGCTTGTTTTTTTTATAGGGAGTTTCCTTCGCAGTCTCTCCGGCGAAGGCAGGTCTGAGCCAGGCATGGGCAGCAATTACACATCAAACCCATCTTTCCGCCTAGCCCGAACCTAGTAGAGAAGCCTATAGCAGCCTCTATATATATATATATACACATACATACATACATACATACATACATGCATACATACATACATATAAGATTACCAACACTATTCCTTCGGGCTCCTTGTTATTGATACGATGGTATACCCTGGGAATGCCCGGGCCTTAAACGCGACAGCCGCCTGCAGATCACGAAGCCCTTGGCAGATGGAACGTCTCCCAGGGCAAGGCGGGGCTTTCCAAGCAGGGGTTTCAAGCTATGGTCGGCTTTAGGGGTTTAGGGCTTTGGGTTTAGGCTTTAGGGGTTTAGGGCTTAGGTGTAGGGTTTAGGTTTGAGGGTTTAGGGTTTGGGGTCTTAGGCTTAGGACAAGTCGACGTCCGTCTGATAGAGTAAGCTCCCAGTTTGTCGTTCATTGAAGTGTCATCCTCTGGAGTGAGGATTTGGGATCGAAGTTCGCAGATCTGCAGTAGACTTCAACTACTGTCTCTTCGATGTCTTAGGGTTGAGGGTTCCAGAGTTTAGAGTCCCTGTTGCGGCGTTCTTTCGATTTATTGGTTTTATGGCTTCGTGTCTTGGGACGACTCTCTTTTTGAAGTTGTCTCATGGGCTTAAGATGAGTTCCGCCTCTACCTTGCAGGGATTCGGTAGAGTCGCAATGGCTCCCGTTGAGGCCTCGGATTTAGGGTGGTGGAGAAGTAAGGCGTGAGGGCTTTGGGGTGGAGCGCTAATGGTGCCCACGACTTGGATTCGGATGTTCTTGGGATCCTCAAACCTCACACTTCAGATCCCGAATCTGCAAACTTAGGTACCGGCCAAACTCCAAACTGCACTGTAGAAGGAAACACTTGGCAATAGCACCGTTTCCCAAAGCAGGGCGGCGACAGTGCGGGTTACTGCAAAAAAGAGAGGGTTTGATTGCTGCCAATGAGCGGTGCGTGTGGTCGAGACCTACCCACAAACATTCGGGATTTTGTTTGCAGGGTCTAAAGTCGTGGCAAGGTTTGTCAGGCGGTGTGGTCTCACCATCACTGCCATTACAAGGGTTGTGGGAGTTTCCAACAGTCTGTAGTCGAGCTCTAGCCGCTGTCCCGTTGACTTTTCGTGGTTCTTTTTGCGCATTTTCTACGCGACGATGCTCTAGCGGCCAGCCACAGGCCGGCACGTTGGCTCGCGAAGTCGTGCTTTCGCCGCAGTCCAGTCGCGTGTGCATCTTCCGGTACACGAGCTGCTTTTGAGATGACGCGCGCGCGCGCTGTGTGTAGTTGGGATAGAAACGTGCGCTCGCCACAGTGCTCTCGTTTTGTGCACTAGATGTCATCTTCTCGGAGTGGCCGAGCTTGCACTGGAGCTACGAAGGCGTTTGAGGCATCGTGATAAATTACTTTCACCAAAAGGTAAACCAAGGCCCTTCACGATTCCCGGAAGCTCTCAAAGGGAAGCAGCCTCACCAGGAGATGCAATGTACAAACTTTCCCAAGTGGACAGTCGAGGCGGGCGAGGGAGAGGGATGGAAGCAGGTAGTTCTTTAGCCATGTCAATGCCTGTCGTGAAGCTCCACAAGCCAGCACAAGTGGCATGTGAGAAGCCGTGAAACCTGATTTCCTTCCGCTTTTCGCTGGTTACTTTGGTGGATACCCTGCGCCTCTAGATGCAAAGCCCAAGGATGGCTATACACGCATGCAGACACAGCTACAAGAAGCGCACGCCTAAGAACAGAGCTCTGTCAGAACTTGAAGACCTGCTAGAATTCGTTGAAATCTGCATTCTTCTCATCTCCGCCTTCTGAAGTGTAGTCCCGGGTACGAGCTCAAGGCCCCAAGACCGAGGTCCCAGAGGGAAGAAGCCTCGACCCTGAGCCTCGGGAACCAAACCTACGAGCGGAGCTCCTACACCCTAAGCCCGGAAAGCTGGGCCGGGATGTCTACCGACAAAAAGCGGGTAGGTAGGTAGGTAGGAATGTAGGAAGGTAGGTAGGCACGTGGATGGGCAGGTAGGTGGGTAGGTAGGTACTTATTTGGTTGCTTGCTTGCTTGCTTGCTTGCTTGCGTTTTTGCTTGCTTGCCTGCTTGCTTGCCTGCTTGCCTGCCTGCCTCCCTGCCTGCCTGCCTGCCTGCCTGCCTGCTTGCTTGCTTGCTTGCTTGCTCTTGCTTACCTGCTTAATTGCACACGCGCACGACACACAGCACACACACACAAACAATATCCATATCTATATGCATATATACATATATACATATATTTTTACATATATGTATATATATGTATATATATATATATAGATACATACATATACACATACACACGCACTTATGAGGTGTGTGTATATGCTTATGTATACATGCCCATGACATTGCAGATCCGATCTAGGGTTCCTGTTGAGCTTCTTCAAGATTGGGTGCCATCGGCTGCGTGCACCCCTTTGAAGCTGTGCGAAGCCATCACTCCGGAAGGTGAATCTGCTCCCCAGTGTGGAGTTCCGCTACAAGTGCGCCTGCAGCTTCTGTGTGTGTAGCGTTGACTTTGCCGGTCTGGGTTTGTGGATTTGTGGGATTTGCGACACGAGGGGTGGATTGAATGTGCGCAGTTGGGGGCCTGTGACCTAAAACCCTAATCCCTAAGCCCTAGAACCCTAAACCCTAAACCCTAAAGCCCTAATCCCTAAACCCTAGAAGCGCCAGGTACGTGAAGGTGCGAGCTGACGGACAGAATGAGTGGGAGTCTTGCGAAAACCGCCATTTCCGCGGGCAGCACCACCACCACATAGAAGATGCCACTGGGCGGTGCAACATAATTGGAAGCCCCTGGAATTGCCAATATTATTCCTTAGGGTTCCTTGTTATAGTTATACAATAACTATAGCCAATTACGACCCCTTTATTACAGCGACCCACAGCCCGAAGCCCTACAACCCAAAATTACCCTCGGAAGCTCCGTGCGCAAGCTTAGACAGTTGACTAGCTTAATGTAGGGGCCTTAGTAATTTGAATAGGGAGTTGGGCTCCTTTAGTATAAGTATAACAAGGAACCCAAAGGAATAGTATTGGTAAATATTTAGGAGGCTTCCATATTCTACAGCCCTTGCTGAGGAGTTCAATGTGAGGAAGCCGCCAGTCGAGGACTGGGGGCTTGCAATGTGATAGCTATGCTTCTGCATTTCTACGGAGCAGAAGTACATGCCCTACTGCACCCTAAACCCTAAACCCCTGAACCCCTAAACCCCTAAACGCTAAACCCTAACCCCCCCCCGGTCCGAACCCCAATCCCTGAGCTTAGAGTCCCAAATTCATCCCCAGAAAACAGCGCCTGCGCCGCTGGAGGAGGACTTCCTCGTGGTCCCCGCTCGCAAGGCACGGGGCGGCCCGGAGGAGGCTCCTTGGTAAAAGTTTAGAGTTCCCAGAGAGTTGTGTCAGGGTCTAGAGTTCAGAATTTAATAAGGGTTGAGAGTTCATAATTTATAATGGTTTAGAGCTCATAATTTAAATCAGGATTTAGAGTTCATAATTCAATAATGGTTTAGAGCTCACAATTTAAATAAGGGTTTAGAGTTCATAATAATTTATAAAAGGGTCTTGCCAGAGTTGAGATGGGGTTCTGCAGGTTCTTAGTGGAGGGTTGTGTAAGGGCTCGTATGGTGTTCCCGAAGAGTTTCATAGGCCACGTTTATCATCCTTTCAAGAACAAAGGATTGAGGATGTCCTTTGCGCTCTGGAAGGTCGAAGATGTGAGGTTCCCCCCAAGGTGCACATCCGAAGCTGCAGACTTCGGACTTACGAGGGATGAACGAATTAAATCCCGGCCCCAAGCTGCATGATGAGGTTCAGGAGGGCTCGGGGGTGATCTTCCACTCAAACACCTTCGCTCACCTGGAGTTCGTCAAGCGTGCTGCTGGGCTGAGCAGCTTTCGGCGCTGCGCTGCATTCTCTGTTTGTTTTGTTTTTAGACTTTGCTAAGACGTGGGCCCGGAACTGTAAATCCCACGACCTTGACCTTATGAACGGCTGCGGGCTTTCGTCAACGCCTTCGAATTGAAAGGCAACAAACCCGAGCCCCCTAAACCGAGAACACAAAGCCCTAAACCCCAAACCCTGAACCCTACACCCTACAAACCCTAAGCTCTATAAACCCCAAACCCTACAAACCCTAAGCTCTATAAACCCCAAACCCTATAAACCCTAAGCCCTATAATCCCCAAACCCTATAAACCCTAAACCCGATAAACCCTAAACCCTGTAGACCCTTTTTTTGGGCAGACCCCAAACTTCGAACCCTAAAGCCGAGCCTCTGAAGTCTAAACGTCTCAGACACCCCAGGAGTTCGCCAATGTCAAAGCCGAGCTGGAGGAGCTCCGGGCAGGGCAGTGCTAGGGTTCCGGGGGGGCATCGCAACAAATGAGGGTCTTTGTTGAGGAGTCTGGTTTAAACTCCAAAAGCTATGATATAATGTGGTAAGTAATCTTTAGTTTGACAATCTGAATCAAGTTGCCTGCAAGAACCTTCAGGTTTCTCAGGCTGTGTCGTTTTGCATGAGGGTCTTCGTTGCGAGCTTTTGCTTCAGCCTGGAACCCCCCGCTCGTTCCTCAAGCGACGCCACTAAGGCTGTCCATTTAGAGGCCACCCGTCAGTACCCTGAACTCTGAACCCTGCCCTCATACCGAAGGAGCTCCGTGGCAGTTTGAAGGCAACTACCCAGGCCCTGAAGAAGGCCGCGGGAGAGGACCGGAGAAGGGATTTGGGTTTCCTGGCATTCTTCAGAAATTTTCCTACATTACTCATATCCCACCATCATCATCACTATCAGCATGGGCGTGAGCATCGCCACGATCATCATCCTCCTCATCATCATCATCATCATCGTTTTCATCGATATCGTCATCACCATCACCATCACCATCATCATCACCATCATCATCATCATGTGTTATTTTTCCTGCTTCGGTCACTTTCTGTTTGTCAGCCCCATGTCTATCCCGAAGAACCCTAAACCCAAATCCCTGAACCTCAAACCCTAAACCCCAAAACCCCAAACACCAAACCCCAAACCCCAAAGCCCCAAACCGTAAACCCCAAAACCCCAAACCCTAAATCCCAAAAGGAGGACTCCAAGATCGAGGCGCAAGTTCTCGAGCTGCGGGGACACCTCGAAGATTTCCAGGTGGCTGAAGAGCGGGTTACGTGGGGTTTGCTAGGGTTTAGGGTTTAGGGCTGAGGGTGTGAGGGTTGAGGGTTTAGGGTTGAGGGTTTAGCGTTTAGAGTTTAGGGTTGAGGGTTTAGGGTTTAGGGTGTAGGGGTGTTCTCTAAGAGCTCTTTGCGGGTTTTGACTGAGTCCTTTAAGGGCTGTAGAGTCGCGCAAAGGTGCCTGATGCTGGCGTGGCTGCTAGCAGAAGGGGATTCGAGCCTGGGGTCTGTGGGTTTAGGACTAGGATTCGGTTCAACATACACGAGCTCGAGTGATTGTTGCATAAGGTACCCTAAAAATCGAAACCCTACTCTTATATATTATTTCATACCCCTACACGGTTGGGGCTTTGGTTTCTGCGGCTTCGGGATGGAGACGAGGGGCTGCCTGCTTCGAGGCAGAGCAGAATGAGCAGAAGAAGGCGCAGGAGCAGATGAGGCGGAGCTTCAGCGACCTGAGGCTGGAGGCGAAGGCCCCCTTTTAGCTGCAGCATGAGAAGCCTGAAGATCCTTGGGAGACTTCTTAGTAGGCTTGTGTTTTTTGGCAAGGGCCTTGATAGAGTCTGATAGAAGGGTCCTGTAGTTTCGGGCTAGTATCTCATGTTGGGAACATCTGACGTAGCAGTTCTTTCCTGTCAATCTGGGAAGGCTGATCGTCTTGTGCCGCAGATCTTTGACAAGATCAAGGCCGGCCTGATTGTTGCTGCATGAGAGGATCGAAGCGGGATGGATACAAGGTTTTTTGGGGAGGTTTCCTTGGGTGTTGCATGGTTGAAGCGGGGCTTGGATTGCCAGTGTGCTCTGAACGAACTCGGGTACTTAGGGTGGGGCTCCAGGATTGTTCAATCCGCTTTGGAGGCCTCTGTATCCTTGCAGCATCAGGGCTGTCTAAATCCAACTCCCAGATGGGTGGTCGGCGGAGGAATGCTTTGGCTGTCGCGACGGGCAGTGGAACGTAGACGCAGTCCTCTGAGCCTCACTCCCCAGACCATCAAGCCCTCACAACTTGAACCCAGAACCTCAACTCTAAACGCCGGTTTCCAAATTTCAATGCTGAGCTCTGAACCCAGCTCCCTACACCCTGTTTCCGCCTCGTCCAGGAGAAGGCCGTCGACGAAATGCTGCCCCGGATTCTGGCACAGCTTCGGGAGGATCTTCGGGCCCAGGAGGGGCCTGCGACCCTGGTTTCATCAAGATGGTTCTCTCGGTTTTGCGTTCGATTTCCGTAGATGATAAACGGAAGCTGTGACGAGCAATCCCCACGCAAGGTCCAGTGCTCGAAGACTCTGGGCCCCCCCGAAACGAGTCTTCAGCCAGCGACAGGACCCCCGGCCGAAGACGTCGACGCAGACATCACCAAGTGCGGGGGCGGAGGATTGGGGCTGTTCAAGATGTGGGCAACCCCCCGAAGGCCCAACCATGAACCCTCAACCGGTGAACGCCAAAACTCCAGAACCTAAGCCTCGTAAGCCTCTCTTCCTCCCAAGCCCCAATCCTAATTAATCCTAATCCTTGGTCCTCATCCATAAACCCACAAGCTCTTCAAGAAGTCCGAAGTTGGAACAAAAACCCACGAATTTGAGCTCCCAGGGCTCACCGGCTGAGATGCTCTGCTCAGAGGGCTCGACACAGCAGTACGTGACCGAAGACAGCCTGGCTCAAACGTCGAAGCTTTGGGAAGCTTATTTGGAGTATGGGTTTAGGGTTTGGGAGTTAGGGATTTAGGGGTTTAGCGTTTATCCCCTTGATGCGCTGAGGTTTGAAATTGACGTGCGCTTGTAGGTCTTCTGCCCCCCCTCACATGTCGACATCATCAGACTCGTTAAGGTCCCACAGCCTAAGCACCTTTGATCCTGAAGCCGCAGAACGAAAACCTCCAGCCGCAAGGGATCAGAAATCCAACATCTCACTACAAGCATCCCGTAGATCCGAAATACCCAGAGAACCCAATACAACTGAATCAAGGAATATACCTTAAATTATAGGGGCATTAAGGGGTAATTATTGGGTTCTCTGGGTAGATGCCTATAGTTTAGAAGAGCTGCAATGGCCTCGGAGCTGCCTGAGCTTTGCCGGCAGCTGCGCCCCTGCTTCGTGGAGCCCCTGGGCTTCATGGTCGCCTGGTCCGGCGTCCTGGCGCTGCGCTTCAGGGGCTTCCCTTCGCAGCTCGTTGCACTGAAGGAGCTCATGGACGGAAGCTTCGGAGGCCTCTGCCCCGAAGGTTCCGGGAGCAAGTTTCCGAAGGCCACTTTGGGCGCCCTGCGCGCAGGCCAGCGCCTGGATCCCGAGCAGCTGCAGAAGCTGCAGGGCCTCTGTGCCAGGGCCTCCAGCCGGCTGTCTGCGGCGAGCTTGCGGCTGGAGGTCTCCGCACTCTCCTTGGTGGCCTACGAGAACCGCGCCTTGGAGCGGCGCTTTGGCACGCTGCCTCTGCCGCTGGGCACCGAGACCTCGGAGCCGGACGTGGCGCCGCCACCCGAGGAGCAGCTGAAAGCCAGCGAGGCCGTGTTTAAGGAGACCTTGGATTCGGGCTACTGGGTCCATGCCTCCAGGGACGGAAACCGGGAGCCTCACTACCGAGACCCTGCGCCGGGGACGACCTTGGTCTGGGACTTCGGCAAGCTCTCCGGAAGAACGGAGATCGATGCTCTGCTGCAGGAGCTTGCTGCGTTCGCGCAAGAGGTCGAAGCTGCTCTCCCTGGGTTGTACAGCTTCTTCGAGCACCGGGCACTGCACATGACCGTGCGGGCCGTGAAGGGCTAAAGGCCTTTAAGGCGGTCCTCGCTTTGCTTCCAGAGCTCGGCCGCAATTCTCCCAGAGCTGGTTGGGTTCTTGGGACGGTATGCCGGCAAAAGCAAAGCCTCCTCCCTCTGCTGCTGTTTTACGATGGTCTATGGCTTGTGTGGTGGCTACTCTTGCATCGTCGCAACTCATCCCCTCTTGCCGTGTTCAGAGAAGCTTTTCAAACCATTCCTCCTCCACCTCTTCTCCTCCTCCTCCTCGGCCTCCATGCTCATTATCATATTGACCCAAAGCACGGGAAGTTGCAGGACGTTCGGAAACACGTTGACGAGCCGGCGGCACTGCGGACCACGGCAGAGACCCGCAAGGAGGGCGTGATCGAATGAGATAGGGTCTTTGGGGTTCTGGGGTTTGGGTCGACGGTGTAGAGAGGTTTAGAGTTTGGTTGAGGACTGAGGAGTTTGTTTAGCATGAGCCAGGACTGGGTAATGAGGTCTCTACTGTGACAGTGTTTGTCCGTGCGCACTGTCTCGGCATGGATGCCTTGATTGGGCACGGTCGTCGACCAACAGGTTGCTTGAAGATTGGGGCCCACGTGATGGGTGATCAACGTAATCTAGTGACAGTGGCGATTGACGATGGTGCTGCTTATGTGAAGCCCTCTGTTGGGATACTACATCGGCCTACAGGGGATCCTGAAGGCCTCCTTATGTCCGACAGGAGCCTTCTTCGGCGAAGCTCCAGGCCGAGGCCACGAAGGTCGAGGCTCCCAAGGACCCCCCCACCCCGGCCCGAGCCGCCGGCGCCGGATGCCCGACGAGGGCCCCTCAGCCCGAGGCTTTCAGGGCCCCGGAGGCCCAGAAAGCCGAGGAAAAAAGCCTCCAGCAGAGAGTGGAGGAGCTGCTCTCAGCCCCGCCGCTTGGGCTCCATAGGTGGCGGGGGTCGCTGTGTCTGAACGAAGTCGAAGGGCGCTTGAGGGGGCCGGAAGGTTTGTGGTGTTGTGGCCCAGACCTCCACTACAGCTTTGTTGCTTCTGCCCTGAGCCGAACGCCGCGAGTCGAGCCTTCAGCGCCCAAGCCCTACGCCAAATTTCCAAGAAGAGCTCCGACGCCTCCGAGGCCCCAGCCGTCACCAGCCTTCCGGCCGGAAGATCTAAAGATCCCAGAGGCCCCCGGAGGGGACAACTTCGCTGTGAGTCTGCGGGGAAGGAGAGCTTTCGGAGTGTCTGGGTGCTTCTCTGGCGGGCCAGCTCCGACGCAAAGTCCGTAGCCCGGTGCACCACTAAGAAATTCCGAAGATCAAGCCAGCCGAGTTACTATATTTTAGTTATCCCTGGCATCTATCCACTCAGCAAGCATCAAACAATCAAACCCCTATTTCAGGTCCAGAATCCCAAATCCTGAACTTAAAGATTGAGTCTTAAATCCTAGGCCCAGGCCTCCAGCAACTCGTCGAATCCCCGGCCCTGAACCCCACTGAATCTAACCCTAAGGCCTGATATACGATGCCTTAGATCCCGGGACTAAGCACTAAACCCTAAACCCCTAAACCCCTAAACCCTAAACCCTAAACCTCTAAACCCCTAAACTCCTAATCCCTAAACCCTAAACCTCTCAACTCCTAAACTCCTTAACTCCTAAACCCCTAAACCCCTAAACCCTAAACCCTAAACCCCTAAACCCCCAAATAGGCCAAGCCTGGCACGAACAAGATCACCGGACCCACCTTTCCTTTTCGGGGCCGCTCGCCGGCGGGTGGGCGCTCCCCCGCCGGGTGCCTTGGAGGCCGGACGGGGTCCCTGAAGAGGGTTTAGGGTTTAGGGTTTAGGGTTTAGGTTTAGTAGGGTTTAGAGTTAGGGGCCCCTGAAGCCTAAGCCTTAGGACGTAAGCCTTGTATATCCTCAGGGCTATAGTAGTTTATCATAAATCTTAAGCCAATGGTGGCAGGATGCCAGCAGAAATGTTGCAACTAGTGTAGGAGCGCTCCAAGCCAGTCATAAGTCCTCTGCTTACCTTGCTCTCCTGGTCCTCCAAGCACAGGCACGGAGGCTTGCAATGAGTCTGCCACAGACGAGCCCTGGCCGACAACCGCCGTGGAATGGCCCGAGGACCCCTCTTCGGGGACGGTGGCAGCTCGGGGGTTTCCAAGTGATCAGTGGCGAGGGCGTTGGAACAGAAGCACTGTAGTGTATGTACATATTCATGTCGGCGTGTGTGCATCCATCTGGAATGAGCGAACCGGCAAGCGAGCCGGCTATGCAAGATATTTTTGTAAATACAGTTTGTATATACAGAACATATATATACACACATATAGATAGATAGATAGATAGACATATAGGGCCTTCTCTCTCTCTCTCTGTCGGTCTCTCTTCATGCTTTACGGTCTGGTGTCTGACTCGGGGGCAGCGACTTTGCTGAGCTCAGAACTGACACGACCCTGGAATTGGCTTGAGGTTCGTGCCAAGTGCTTTTACGATGGCAGCGTCTGGAAGCCACCCTACTCTCCAAGCTCAATGGCCTTGACCCCACAAAAAACCAAAGTGCTAAACCCACGTGGAATGGCTGTTGTGGAGCTTGCTTCTCTCTTCTCCGGTCTCCCCCTGGGCCCAGTGTAAGTTTGGCTTTTAAGCCCAAAGCTCGACATCTCATCCTCAAGTACTAAAAGCCGAGGACAGGGGGAGGACCCTAGACCAAATATTGTCACCTGGGCAGGACGAGAATGCTCGTCGCATGTGTATCGGCTTCCAGGCGGAGTCCCTTGGATGCGACATATTGCCGCTACCAGAACCGCAGTGACCGGTCATCACCACCGTCACCATCATCGTCATCGTCACCAGCCATCACCATCATCGCCATCACCACCACCACCACCGTCATCGCCACCGCCACC